AATTATCAAGACTTGTACCATGAAAAATTAAATATAATCATGATAATAAACGCATCTATCCACAGCAGATATATGCACATGCCAACCACGTGCTCAGTGGAATGATATTATCAAGGAAATTCGAGCTGTAAACAGAACAGTTTTTCCCGATTTGCTGGAGTGGCGTTAAAATTGCGTTTTTTCATTAATCAGACGATGCAATGCAACAAATAAAAGTAGCAAGTAATATAACCTAATGATTATTACTTAGAAATTTCTTGTCTTGATGTTATTATGGTCGCATTTATTCTAAAATCAATGTTATTCGAACTCTGTGTGACAGAGGAATGGCGGACGAAATAAACACATGGCCTCAGGAAGACACCCATATGAAAAATCAAATTTTCAAGAATTATGGATAATGACAAGAAAAAAGCGAAACAAATGGTTGTAGCCATATTATCAATGAATCAAACTAACACCATTTTCAATGCATTTTTCATCTCGTGAATGCTGTAGCTGCGCAGTTCTAACATGATTAATTTCCTCCTAATTAAAACAAAATAAACTTAATTATTTATTAATTTTGGTCTCTAACAGTAGGTAATAAGTGCATTAGCACTTTGAGTAACTTTGGGCTAGTTTAGTAGAGTATAAAGCGCATTCTTGATATTTCTTATTTTACACCAGACTAGATCCAATATGGCTTGTACATCCCCCTTAAGCATACTTGATCCCTCTAAACCATGTGGACCAGATGGAATTCTTCCCAGAATATTAAAGAAAACCCGTTATTCCATATATAAACCTCTATGTAGATTATTTAACCTATCACTTACAAATAAACAAATAATGTTCCTCCGTACATATGGAAACAAACACATATTAGACCTATTTTTAAAAATAAGGACTGTCCCCAACAACCTAATAATTACAGACCAATATCATTGACTTTTTCTTTATGTAAACTAATGGAAAAAATACTTCTTAAATATATGTTTAATCATATTAAGGAACATGACTTATTGTGTAAGTACCAATCTGGGTTCCAACCTGGGAATTCTACTGTTAACCAATTAGTTGAAATATATGATAATATTATGTCAAACCTTGACAGAGCCAGAGATATACGCTTTATATTTTGTGAAATTTCCAAAGCTTTTGACAAGGTATGGCATAAGGGAATGATTTTTAAACTTAAAAACCTTGGTTTTAGAAGTAATATTCTGGGTTGGATCGAAGACTATCTTACTGAAAGACAACAAAGAATGAATTTAGAAGGCTTTTCATCAGCATATAAAACTATAGATCCTGGGGTACCTCAGGGGTCTGTACTGGGTCCCTTCTTGTTTTTGTTATATATAAATGATATAGCTAAAGATATATCGTGTAATATTCGATTGTTTGCTGATGATACTTCTTTGTTTGCTATTATAGACAATGATATTAATACTCGAACAATGTTCCTTACTCTAGATCTTGAAAAGATAAGAAATTGGTCCAACGCTTGGGCTGTAGATTTTAATAGTGAAAAAACTGTTAATATTAATTTTACTAGAAAACACATTAAGTTTTCCTAAAATTCAGTTTGGATATGGAGGTGATTATATAAAACAATCAAATACTCATGTTCATTTAGGATTAAAATTTCAAGCAGATGGTTCTTGGAAAAATCATATATTGAATATATATGAAAAGGCATGTAAAAGATTTAATATAATTAGGTTACTGAAACATTGTATAGATAGAAATTCACTAATAAAAATTTATTTTGCTTTTATAAGACCAATTTTAGAATATGCTGATGTTGTGTGGGATAATTGTACCCAGAGTAGTCCAGAATTGCTTGGAAAAGTTCAGATAGAAGCTGCCAGATTTATTACTGGGCATAGAGTTAATTCTTCCAGAACTTGTTTGTATGGTGAATTAGGATGGGAACCATTATTATCTTTGAAGAGAAAAACACAAATTTCAATTGATGTATGAAATGATTAATGGTTCTGCACCTGATTATTTGTATGATTTGATTCAACCTTTTTTTCCTTGTTCAACATGCATATAACCTAAGGTCTGGATGTAATAACTTATGTATACCAGTTTGTGAAACAATGTCGTACTATAATAGTTTTATTCCCTCAACCATAAAACTTAGGAACAGTCTTAGTGAGGATGTAAAAATCTCTCCTTCGTTACCTATCTTTAAAGCAGCTTAAAAATTGGGGAGCAACTAATAAACCTTGTAGGTACTATGACTTTGGTAATAGAAAAAAAATATCTTGCTTTGTCAGTTGCGAAACAATGCTATAGCAATCTTAATCCACATTTTAAAAAAATCATTTTTAGCTCACCTGAGCCGAAGGAACATTATGTAAATAACATATATACAGTTGGGGGGTTGTCATCATTTTTGAAATATAATATTGATAAATAATGCTTGATTGTGAATCTTTATTTTTCATTGTAATCTTATTGATTATCATGTACATGTATTATATGTATTATTTACTATTGTACCTTGACCTATTATACAAGGAGAGGGTGTACATAGGCCTTGCTTGTTGCCCAATCCTTACTGTATTATTCAATAAAATATGTTTAAAGGAAATACAGACCTCAAAAACATCAGAGATGGGATCAGGTGCCACATTTAGGCTCGGTTCACAGATTAATTTGCATTTATTTGACTGTAATTCTTTATATCATTTACTTTTCCCTTTCCATTCCAGACATTTCTAATCTGTGGATGCATAAATGGAATCTTGATGACTGTTACACCAATGTTACATCTTATTAAATCAAGGTTTGTAAACACATATATCGGTACATGTACCAGTATTTTTCACTTATATGCAAATCTGTTTTATATCTGAATATTTCACTAGTAACAAAATTTATTATACTGAACGGGGTTGGCTTCCAACTTTTTACCTTCAGCTTTCCTTACTTACTTAGATATATACATTATCACCCCCAGTTGATACACAAGAGCATGTTCTTACGTACGTTCGTTTAAACTGTTATTTATTATAACTTTCTTTTTTCACTCATATGAAGATGCCGCTACCTGCTGCAAAATTTTGACACTTCGCCAATTGGCCCACCTCTGCATACGTAAAAGATAAATTAATGTTCTTATGATTTTATGGCCTTGGAGTTAAATTTCTGCAAACCATGAAGTTGTTTCACCAAACAAAAGAAATATCTTTTTTGTCAATAAATATAGGATTTCCCAAGATTTGTAGTTGGATATGATTTTTATCCAACGAGTTGTGCGGGTTTTTTTTTATCCCCGAGTCTTTAAATCGATTAATATATGTTTATGAAATGCAAGCTAATTTTCAATCTTCTTGTACAGGTCTAAATGTTATAACTAATACTGCAAACACCCCCCAAAACTGGCAAATTCCCGTTTTTTTTTACTTTGTTTTCAAGTAAGATTATTCTTGTTTACTCTATCAAAATTGGAAATTTACTAGATGTCTGAATGCTGGATTGAACTTCACTATTTAACGCATGTAAAATACACTATAATATGAAAATGATTTTTACGGAATAGCGTCTCCAATTTTTTGGATACATGTTCGACGAGGGCTGTACAATTATAATGTCCTTAGCTCTGTGACATACAATATAGAAATCATGTGACATTAGGTCTTTAATGAATTCAGTTTATCTGACCACTTTTCATAACGTATAGTTTTATTGTGAGAAGTTGGAAAACAAAGGCTACTCGAGACACTGCATTAAAAATGAATTGTAAAGAATCAGTAAACTAGAGTGAAATTAAACGCTTCATAAAAGCTTCTGTAAAACTCATTGAGAATCCTATAGAAAGATTTACTGAAATTTAAAATCTACAGCAACCAATATCTGTTTTGAGACACATGAGCAGGTGGTTTTCAATGAAAAAAGATATAATAGGCATCAAAACTGAGCACCTTCCTTGGTGACAAAAACTTAAAACATCCAATGCATTGTTTGCCAAAATTCATTGATGATGTTTGATTGCCTTTACGACACATAGGAAAATTAATAAGCATCATTTTTGGGGTAGTTTAAGCTTTTTTAAAGACACGGTTGACTGTAAAAAAGATCAGTACTCAATGGTCACCTTATGTTTTGAAAAATGAGTGAAAACGAATACCGGTATCTAAACAATTATTTTTTAAAATTAGAAATTGTAGTTATCCAAGTTTGTCTGGAATCCAAACAGATAAAGAGACGTGAATCCATTGCTTAAAACCCTCAAAACAAATTTACCACTTGACAGAAATAGCCAAGGTCTAAAAAGAGCAAAGAATTGCAAAAACACAAAACAGTTTAATGTGCCATTTTCTTGAATATAAGTAGTCTTGCTGTTTAAATTCTTATTCGGGGCAGGCAGTTCAATTTCTGAAGGTCTAGAAAGCAATTTTTTGCAAAAAAAAAAAATTGGATGGTTTATTAAAGGATAGAAACAAAATCAGTAATCCACTATATTAAATTTCTTATGACAGCGTACATGCAAACCCACACGCAATGAAGAGTAACGTAGTTATGGTGATAAACAGAAAGTTAATGTTTTTTCACACCAACAATATTCGCAAGATAGTTCACCCTTTGATTTGTTTCATTTTCCAAACTTGAAAAAAAACACCTTCAGAAAGAAGAAATAAGTCAAGGAATTAATAGGATCTGCCATATTCCCGTTTACGAAGGGTCATATAATCAAAAAATGGTCTAAAAAATCAGATATTGGATAAAAATGTTATGGATGCATGTGTTTGAATTAAGAGAGAATATGTAAGTGAAATCATCAACTTGAAGGTTAAATTATTTAAAAGCGTTTTTTCTTTGACTTTCTTTCCGATCACCGAGAACATTATTCATTGAACAGTCCTCGTATATAAAACCTCTTTTAATTCGACTACTAGTATTGCAGAGCGTAATTTTATGTTTAAAGTTAATGTAAAAAACTTTCAATTTCATACCTATGGGTTGCTGGTGTGTACCTCTCAAACCAAGAACAATCAAAAAAATATTGGCTAAATTGTTTCTACAAATATGAAGTTGAAGTTGATTTAGTGAAACTTAAAGGACATTACTCTTGTGAAGACTCTATAATTTTGAAAACATGAAGTCTTCATCTTTTTTAATTCAGAACTTAAATTTTTAAGTTTTATAGAAAATAACAAAACAGACACAAAAAAGACTTTCAGTTTCCATAATTGAAATATTAAATAGCAAAAATCGGTTTAAATAATTATACATACCTACAATAAGTCATCTTGATATACATGTACTAGTGATGCATTAATTTGATAATTTACCATGGTTCTTCTGGTTTTCCAGTTCCCCGTGCATTCTCTGGACGGTCCTCCTTGTCCTGATTGTTCCACAGAAAATAATGACTAGTTGTTTGTTCACGGCATCGTCACTCTTCATCAATAACTCATCACCACCTCACATGGCGGGCTCCGTCAATGGTATCGCCACCACTTCCACAGCTATTGCGAGGTAAAAGTTTGGATTTTTTCCCCTAACGTAACATTCCAGTGAAAAATATACATGTATACAGAAAAACTTATGTAATCCAGGCACCACTGGTTTCGAGGAATTTGGCTGGATTAGATAACATTTCATATAAACATATGGTTTTAGGTCAACTCAGGTGACCTATTGCTATCTGTTTTCGTCCGTCGTCTTACGTCGTTTGTCGGTCGTAAAGTTTTGAACATTTTTTGTTTCTTCTTTGGAATCACAGAACCAATTTCAACCAAATTTGGTATACAGCATCTAAGGAAGAGGGGAACAAAAATTGTTATTTTCATGGTCCCTGTCCCTCTTGGGTCTGGGGGTCGGGGCCAAAATCGCTAAAATTAATGCAATCTTTAAAAATCTTCCTGTGTACTTCTGGACATCTAGCAGTCAAACTGTTGGCATGACTGTAATCAGCATGGAGTCCTCTACCTAAATTGTGAAATTTAAGTCCCCTAGGTCAGGAGTTCTGGTGTTAGAGTGGGGCTATATAGATCATATAGTAAAAATGCATTTCTTTGAAAATCTTCTCCTCTGCTCCTGGGTATTAAACAAACGAACCAAATACATAGTTATGATGACTAAAAGTACCTCTTTGAAAATTGTAAGGGTGGGGCTCTGTTGATTATGTAGTAAAAATACATTAATTCTTTGAAAATCTCCTCTGCTCCTGGGTATTAAACAAACTTACTAAGTACATAGTCATGATGAACAAGAGTGCATCTTCCAAAATTTTGAATTTAATGGCCCTTGGCTCAGTGGTCCTGGTGTTGGGGGGGCTCTATTGATTTTATTGTGAAAATACATTGATTCTCTAAAAATTTTCTCTGCTCCTGGGTAACAAACCAATGAAATGTGGGCATAGTTATGATGTGGAACGATGCATCGTCCAAAATTTTCAATTTCATGGCCCGAGGGTAAGGGGTTCTGGTGTTAGGGTGAAATGCATGAGTTCTTTGAAACAAGAATATCAGCAGTCTCGTGTAGAGTCATTTCGTAAGTTCTATGGTCGATACAATGACCTTGTCAGCAAATACATTTATCATTAAGTCAAATGCTGACTGACGTTTTTCATACTTATTGTTAGTCCATTACAAGTATTTATACATTGAATTGACGACGGATTTTCCCGTTATTTCCCGATCATGAGTTCATGACAAGGAGGACACGGCGGGTATGACCGGTCATCAAGGGATGCTCACTCCTCCATTGCACCTGATCCCAACTCAGATGTTTCGGAGGTCCGTGTTTGCTCTGCTCTTATTTTGAATTGTTTTAAGGACTATGATATTGAATACTGTTCGTTATCTTCATATCCTTCCTTTGCATCTGGGTATTATGCCAATGATCTAACTATGAAGAAAGGTGCATCTAGCAAAATGGTTAATTTCATGCCTCCTGGGTCAGGGGTATTGAGGGGTTACATAGTCTGAAAATAAATTAATGCTTTGAAATCTGCTCTTTAGTATTTATCAACGATTTATGATGAAATAAAATTTTTGATAAGATTTCCAAAACTTGAAATATGTGGGTCAGGGTTCCTGTGGGGTGGAGTGCACACCTGGTTATAGATGGAAATGCATTTCCTTTGTGTTAATCTACTCTGTCTCTGGGAATTAAGTAACTAGAGTAAGTATGCTTAATGTCTAATTATGATAAGCAATGGTGCCTCTTTCAAAATTTCATGGCCTCTGGTTTAAAACCAAATTCAATTGTTAGAAAGTTGTTACATGTTATTCAGGTGACCCATAGGCCCGTGGGCCTCTTGTGTATGAAATTGACTTATTATTGCATAATGCAAGATTCCGGATTACACAAGATCCGGATTAGACAAATTTTACTGTATTTATCATTGTTCCGTATTTTATATCTTTTCCAGGACCTTGGCACCCACAATAGGAGGCAGTATATTCGCATGGTCTATAGAGAACAATCTAGAAGCACCGTTTGATGTCAACCTGTCTTTCTTTATGTTTGGATTCAATTTATGGTTGATCAGTATATATAGTTTATTTATGCCAGAGTCTCTTAACAGAAAAAAGACCTAATCAAGCAAAATACAGACATTTTTATGGAAAATGGAATTCCACGAGTTGAACAATTCGTGGAAATGATGACTCTTTGTTACTGTGTATATGCAATCTTTATATGTTTATTTTTGGGACTTAAGGAAAGGCATGCCATTCGTTGTTCATTTGTTTCAAAATCAGAATTGGATTTAGTAATGTCATACACAAATGCAAAGGAAAAATACATTACTGCTCGGTTGTGTTGTGCAAAAGGGGCTTTATAATCTGAGTTTTGGATTTATAGTCCATTGAATAATTTACAACGAGAATTTCATGGTGACCTTCAAATTTTAACAAACTGAATACCGAAAAAAGGTACCTGCTGACAACTTTGTGCTTTTTGGACACCTGTTGAATACCTCAAATGTTTTGAATAAATATGGCACGCTAAATTCACAAAAATGAGCTAAACAAAGTTTCACAGTCGATTATATAACACAGATTATCTGATAAATACAGTTTCACGATTTGTAAACTATGGTTTACAACTCTTAACTATAGTTAACGGTCTGATAAATATAGTTTCACGATTTGTGAAACTGTGATTAACAGTCTTAACTATAGTTCACAATTGTACATTATACTTTACGTACGTGAATCTATGTTTATCAACAAAATCTATTGTTATAGGCCCGGCTCGATAGATCCAGGGCGTATATTGTTTTGTCCTGTCTGTCTGTCTGTCTGTTTGTTTGTTTGTCTGGTTGTTTGTCTCGAACTTTAACCTTCGCCATATCTTTTGAACCATGAAAGATAGAGACTTCATATTTAGTATGCATACTCCACAAATTAACTTCTTTCAAATGACACCAAGGTCAATGAGCTTGTGACTTTGACTGTGGCCTATATGCTAAAAATAGTTTTTTTTCTGCAAACTTTAACCTTCGCCATAACTTTAGAACTATGAAAGATAGAGACTTCATATTTGGTATGCAAACTCCACAAATCAGGTTCTTCCAAATGACACCAACATTAATGACCTTGTGACCTTGAGTGACCTATATGCTAAAAATAGCCTTTTTGAACCCTCACTATAACTTTTGAACCACGAGAGATTGAGATTTTATATTTGGTATACATACTCCACTAATCTTGCTCTTTCAAATGACACCAAGGTCAATGACCTTGTGACCTTTACTGTGACCTTAATGCTAAAAATATCTTTTTCTGAACTTTGTTGCCGCCGGGCGCATAGTGTTTCACAAACACATCTTGTTAACGTTTTATTTCAGACAGATAAACTTAGATTAGCATTCGTAAACTATAGATAACAACCGTTAAATATAGTTTTACAGATGAAAACTATAGTTAACGAATTGTTAACTATAGTTCACGGTTTGTAAACTATATATACAGTCGATAAACCTTGTTTTACAATTGTGAAACTATGTTTAGCTCATTTTTGTGAATTTGACGTGCCATAAATAAACTAAACGACTCACCTAAGTCGAAAAAAAGGTAGCAATTGTTCCTTCGCCAGGCGATCTGCACTTTAAATTTAAAGAAGTGGGTATTTCGAGACCAAAAACATTGAGACCCCGTGGCACGGTAGGCGTTGGTATGATAAAGAACCCTAACTGCTCAATGGCTGTGAGTAAAGGTCTATATATTTGAAGCCCTTCACTGGTATACGGTGACATCTCTATATTTGTGAAAAATTCTCGAACGGGACGTAAAACAACACACAATTAATAATCAATCATTGAATCCATGATCATTGGTACGGCTGTCCCTGTCATAAACAGGTCATTTACCAGATATTCTTGCAAGACAAACTTCCCTTCCCATTAAAAAGGCAAGATAATTTCATCACTTGGAAGTACACCAGTTGAAATACAACCCAATAACATCTCGTTATTGCTGTGACAGGGGTAGAGGGGTTACAAGTGATATCAACAAGACACCTTCACACAAAACAGGAGGTTATGGAAGGGGTCAGTGGTCTCTGCTCCTCCCTAAAATAAAAGGCTTCAGACCCCGGGAAAATCTTTATGTTGAACTAAAATTTTATAAAAGTCAAGCAGGACAAAAAACTATAATTTAACAATTTTGTTTAACAAAAGAGTTGTTATCTGCGAAATTAGATACTAGTATTAACTAATAAACATTTCACAGTTGATGAAAAAATTGACTCGAGTCTAATTCTGTTACATGATCCTGGGGCCAGAAGACAAACGAAGATAGTAAGCAAACGTTTACTTGATTATATAGAATTATCTCAGTCAGCAATGGAATGTTGAATAAAGAATTTACTGGAAATAAAAAAATAAACCCAAAGAAAGGCTATATTGTATTCGCTAACAGGATCATTGTATGTCTAATGACCAACGAATTAATGAAATGCCAACTTTAAACAATTCTGTTGAAATCCATGTAACATCATTTTATTTGTAAGTAGCATTACTCCATTTAAATACTGATCGTTCTCAGTGCCTGCCTATGAATATTAAATCAATGTAAGCAGGTTATAGTGGAATACTTCTTCATAAATAAGGATGCTAAATATTGATTAAGGAAGGTTGACTATGGAAAAGCTGATGTCATCTTGCTTTTCATACAGTTTAGTTCTTAACTGGCACTTATCATCTATAGTCAGTAAAACATCCAAACGTGAAACAGATGTGGCAGCCTCTGGGGTGTCTTTTTATTGTTCACTTGAATATGTTGCCTTGACATAAATATAACAGAAGTACGTAACTATTGTTAACAGATTAAGTGTCTTTGATATACAATTGTAATTGAATGTCTAACTGAAAACCACAGCAAGTGCCTTCTTTCCATGTTCAAGTTTTTTTTTTAAATTAATCCTTCTTAAAAGGAATTTAAAAAATAAGTCAGGTAATAAAGTAAAATTAATGTCCATCAGAATTTTATTAGATTGTTGGAATAGACTAATAGATACTGTCAATGAGGAAACCCAGCATCCTGGAAAGCCATTATATGTACCTTGTAATAGTGCTGAACATGTATCTATTTTTATTTTATAAAAAAAAAATGAAAGAAAATATGTACTAGAAATCATGTATTTCTTAAAATGATTTATTTTGATATTATGAAATAAAAATCAAACTTGATATTTCATTTATAGAAAATAAAATATCCACCTCATAACATCTAATTGTATTAACATTCAAACAAACAACTCCTTAAAGTTTATATACCAAAATAGTGATCCAATCCAAAAGGATTCTAGCAGTAACATCAAAACTACAGTAAGTCTATGCAATGCTGAAATAATACAAAGAATGAAATAGTCAGAACAGAAAATACAGAGATATTTTCTGTCTAGAATAATTTGAACACTGATATCAACTTTAAGCAAGCAAATAAATATAAGCACTTTAAAAAAAATCTTAATACAATGAAATGGAAATTCAGATTGAATGGATCATGTGAAAAAATACAATAAAAAGACTAGGTAATATACATGTATCCCATAAAGAAAATTAGTTTAATTACAACAAAAATATAATGGTTAAATATTATATAAAGCAGGTAAACATTTGACAAAGTTTATTACCAATAAATATTAACTTTAGCATATATCAATATAAAAACAAACAAGAAATGTACAATATACATTGTGTCTTCATATTTTATGGCATTTGTAGATTAAAATAAAACATATTCTAAGATTATATATAATAACAAAACAAAAAATTGAACTGTTTTCTTTGTCAAGGGTTATATGAATCATATTTTTACAACAATAGAAAAACAAACAAGATTCTACAAGATCTTATTTATAAAAAACATAAGCTTTCTCAACAAGATACACGTAATTAAACAGGGCTTGTAGCACCAATCAATTGACTAGGATGTTTTGGATAAAATAACAAGAGGCCCACGGGCCTTATAGGTCACCTAAGTATCATGTAACAAGTTTCCAGCGATTGTATTTCAGTGCTCCAAGTCACACTTCCTTTTAGGTCGCAAAATGGGGACCTAAAATTTTTTTTGGTCGCCATTTCAGAATTTCTGGTCGCCAAAATCAAATATTTCACTCACCATAAAAAAAAAATATATTTTGTCAATAAAACTTGATAATTTAAATAAGGATATGTAGTACATGTAGAATGTATTTATTAAATCAAGGATTACTTATTACTGTTACTATAAAAATTTGCTAGGTTGAATGAAATATTTTTATTGAATACAAGTACCCTTATGGTTGTACAGAAGAACACAAGTATTCTTATCACAGATTGAAATAAAATTTTATCAAATGAAAATACAAGCCTGACAGCTTTTGAGACAGGACCTGCTGTTTGTCATGTTTACTTGCTACAACGTACCTAACCCATTACACAATCGTAATAAATGCCGCAAAAACACTCTTTATTAGCATGATTCATTGTGATATCCAAGCAATTGACCAGATCCCGATCTTAAAAATGGACGTTTCCAGCCCAAATTTTCTTAGTCGCGAAAATGTGAGCGTGTTTTCATTTTTAGTCGCGAAATCAATTTTTTGGTCGCATTTGCGACCATTTTAGTCGCAACTTGGAGCACTGTATTTGCTTCGTGTTTTAATCCAAAAGCCATGAAATTCACAAATTTGGAAAGAGGCACCATTGCTTATCAAAGGGCAGATTTCAAAGCATTAATTTATTTTTAGTCAAAGTACCCCCCTGGTACCCCTGACCCTGGGGCCCTGAAATTACCTATTTTGAAAGAGGCCCCTTTCTTCATTATAAGGCCAGCATTTTTTTTATGTGTAGGTTTAGTTATGAACATGAGAATAAAAAAGTCCCGAAGGAGAAGGAAATAAAAAATTTTTTGGATAAATCAATTATTAACATTTGTACATTTTGCTATTCTAATAGGCTCCTTACCACTGGACACATGATGCTTTGACTGTAAGCTATAACAGAGACCTAAACAATGTCACTGGCAATATGCAATAGCTACCACGGGCAGTTTAAAACCTTGGGGAGGAAAATAATTTACCGACAGATACTTTTGAAACGAATACATAATTATCTCACCAGCATGTCATTGTGCAACAAAGTCGTC